GTTCTCCCACATAAACGTTGCAGTTCTCCCACATAAACGTTGCAGTTCTCCCACATAAACGTTGCAGTTCTCCCACACAAACGTTGTAGTTCTCCCACATAAACGTTGCAGTTCTCCCACATAAACGTTGCAGTTCTCCCACATAAACGTTGCAGTTCTCCCACACAAACGTTGCAGTTCTCCCACATAAACGTTGTGGTTCTCCCACACAAACGTTGTGGTTCTCCCACATAAACGTTGTAGTTCTCCCACATAAACGTTGCGGTTCTCCCACATAAACGTTGTAGTTCTCCCACACAAACGTTGTGGTTCTCCCACATAAACGTTGTAGTTCTCCCACACAAACGTTGCAGTTCTCCCACATAAACGTTGCAGGTCTCCCACATAAACGTTGCAGTTCTCCCACATAAACGTTGTAGTTCTCCCACACAAACGTTGTGGTTCTCCCACATAAACGTTGTGGTTCTCCCACATAAACGTTGCAGGTCTCCCACACAAACGTTGTGGTTCTCCCACACAAACGTTGCGGTTCTCCCACATAAACGTTGCAGTTCTCCCACACAAACGTTGTGGTTCTCCCACATAAACGTTGTGGTTCTCCCACACAAACGTTGTAGTTCTCCCACACAAACGTTGTGGTTCTCCCACACAAACGTTGCAGTTCTCCCACATAAACGTTGCGGTTCTCCCACATAAACGTTGCGGTTCTCCCACATAAACGTTGCGGTTCTCCCACATAAACGTTGTGGTTCTCCCACATAAACGTTGTAGTTCTCCCACACAAACGTTGTGGTTCTCCCACATAAACGTTGCGGTTCTCCCACATAAACGTTGTGGTTCTCCCACATAAACGTTGTAGTTCTCCCACACAAACGTTGTGGTTCTCCCACACAAACGTTGTAGTTCTCCCACACAAACGTTGTGGTTCTCCCACACAAACGTTGCAGTTCTCCCACATAAACGTTGCGGTTCTCCCACATAAACGTTGCGGTTCTCCCACATAAACGTTGCGGTTCTCCCACATAAACGTTGTGGTTCTCCCACATAAACGTTGTAGTTCTCCCACACAAACGTTGTGGTTCTCCCACACAAACGTTGTAGTTCTCCCACACAAACGTAGTGGTTCTCCCACACAAACGTTGCAGTTCTCCCACATAAACGTTGCGGTTCTCCCACATAAACGTTGCGGTTCTCCCACATAAACGTTGCAGGTCTCCCACATAAACGTTGTGGTTCTCCCACACAAACGTTGTGGTTCTCCCACATAAACGTTGCAGTTCTCCCACACAAACGTTGTGGTTCTCCCACATAAACGTTGTAGTTCTCCCACACAAACGTTGTGGTTCTCCCACACAAACGTTGTAGTTCTCCCACACAAACGTTGTGGTTCTCCCACATAAACGTTGTAGTTCTCCCACACAAACGTTGCAGTTCTCCCACACAAACGTTGCAGTTCTCCCACATAAACGTTGTGGTTCTCCCACATAAACGTTGCAGTTCTCCCACATAAACGTTGCAGTTCTCCCACATAAACGTTGCAGTTCTCCCACATAAACGTTGTGGTTCTCCCACATAAACGTTGCGGTTCTCCCACATAAACGTTGCAGGTCTCCCACATAAACGTTGTAGTTCTCCCACATAAACGTTGCGGTTCTCCCACATAAACGTTGCGGTTCTCCCACATAAACGTTGCAGGTCTCCCACATAAACGTTGTGGTTCTCCCACATAAACGTTGCGGTTCTCCCACATAAACGTTGCGGTTCTCCCACACAAACGTTGCGTTTCTCCCACATAAACGTTGTGGTTCTCCCACATAAACGTTGTAGTTCTCCCACACAAACGTTGCAGTTCTCCCACACAAACGTTGCAGTTCTCCCACATAAACGTTGTGGTTCTCCCACATAAACGTTGCAGTTCTCCCACATAAACGTTGCAGTTCTCCCACATAAACGTTGCAGTTCTCCCACATAAACGTTGTGGTTCTCCCACATAAACGTTGCGGTTCTCCCACATAAACGTTGCAGGTCTCCCACATAAACGTTGTAGTTCTCCCACATAAACGTTGCGGTTCTCCCACATAAACGTTGCGGTTCTCCCACATAAACGTTGCGGTTCTCCCACACAAACGTTGCGTTTCTCCCACATAAACGTTGCGGTTCTCCCACATAAACGTTGCAGTTCTCCCACATAAACGTTGTGGTTCTCCCACACAAACGTTGCGGTTCTCCCACACAAACGTTGTGGTTCTCCCACATAAACGTTGTGGTTCTCCCACACAAACGTTGCAGTTCTCCCACATAAACGTTGTGGTTCTCCCACATAAACGTTGCAGTTCTCCCACATAAACGTTGCAGTTCTCCCACATAAACGTTGCAGTTCTCCCACATAAACGTTGCAGTTCTCCCACATAAACGTTGTGGTTCTCCCACACAAACGTTGCGGTTCTCCCACATAAACGTTGTGGTTCTCCCACATAAACGTTGCAGTTCTCCCACATAAACGTTGCAGTTCTCCCACATAAACGTTGTCGGAAAATCCGACACCATTTAATAATCATACAGATAATAGCTGTATTGTATAAACAAGTTACCCATAGAAAACGTAACTTGTAGTGGAATTACCGTCTAAAGAAAACGGGATATCATCACCACATACTATTATATTCACCACCTATTATGGTGGGAATTATTCTTAAATACATTAGTCTTTGGACTTTACCATTATAAAAACATCTCATATAAATTAACTTAATTATCAATATTAAAGTAGAGTAAATGTGACCCTTCTATCACTTATTGACATCTGGACAATGTAGGCCAGGCATCAGTGGGGAAGGAGAGCAGCCATTGTTGATACTAGACCAGAGGCGCAAGGAGCAATTCGGCTCCTGTTAATTTTACTTGGACGAAGTGTTATGGAAACCAAAGGTGTACCATTATCACACGCTGTCAACAAATTCAAGTTAAGTGTTCTTTCCGAAACCCATGTATCTTTCATTTATGGCCATTAATGTCATTATATAGGGTGACCCTTCTCCCACATAAACGTTGCGGTTCTCCCACATAAACGTTGCGGTTCTCCCACATAAACGTTGCAGTTCTCCCACACAAACGTTGCGGTTCTCCCACATAAACGTTGTGGTTCTCCCACATAAACGTTGCAGGTCTCCCACACAAACGTTGCGGTTCTCCCACATAAACGTTGTGGTTCTCCCACATAAACGTTGCAGGTCTCCCACACAAACGTTGCGGTTCTCCCACATAAACGTTGCGGTTCTCCCACATAAACGTTGCAGGTCTCCCACACAAACGTTGCGGTTCTCCCACATAAACGTTGCGGTTCTCCCACATAAACGTTGTGGTTCTCCCACATAAACGTTGCGGTTCTCCCACATAAACGTTGCGGTTCTCCCACATAAGCGTTGCAGTTCTCCCACACAAACGTTGCGGTTCTCCCACATAAACGTTGCAGTTCTCCCACATAAACGTTGCGGTTCTCCCACATAAACGTTGCAGTTCTCCCACACAAACGTTGCGGTTCTCCCACACAAACGTTGCAGTTCTCCCACATAAACGTTGCGGTTCTCCCACATAAACGTTGCGGTTCTCCCACATAAACGTTGCAGGTCTCCCACACAAACGTTGCGGTTCTCCCACATAAACGTTGCGGTTCTCCCACATAAACGTTGCGGTTCTCCCACATAAACGTTGCAGGTCTCCCACATAAACGTTGCAGTTCTCCCACATAAACGTTGCGGTTCTCACACATAAACGTTGCAGGTCTCCCACACAAACGTTGCGGTTCTCCCACATAAACGTTGTGGTTCTCCCACATAAACGTTGTAGTTCTCCCACACAATCGTTGCAGTTCTCCCACATAAACGTTGCGGTTCTCCCACATAAACGTTGCAGTTCTCCCACACAAACGTTGCGGTTCTCCCACACAAACCGCAGAATTCGTAGCTCGAGGGCGTTCAACTCCAGTCCTCCAAGACGTCCAACAAAGTTTCTTTAAGACTGCCTCACAGCTCTGCTGCTCCTGACTCGAGTACACAGAGTCACCCAGCAGGATCCACAACAGAAACGCCTGCTTGCTTCCTTCCTCTTGAAGAAGCAACACACTTAGAGCTCCACAAAGACGTGACCGACACACACTTCCAGGTCGCCTCTAATATATCGAAATCACAGAGAAATGGTGTACGAAGTTTCCTTACAGCTTCCTCACACTTGACATCAAGTAGCCTTCACTTCAACACTAGCATAGAGCGCTATACCCCTTCCTTCTCCCAGGAGATCACGACGTTCAAACCATCAATGACGACTGATGTAGCTCAACTGAGGTCACGACCTCCTGCTAGCGTTACTTCACTTCTCCAAAGTATCATTTCATGTCACTTATTTAAATGCTTCTCCTTTGCTCATATCTTTAAATCATTCACTGACGTTTATTATATATTCAGTATATATACATCTTTCCTCTGACCTCTCACATCAGGTCCGGACGGCAGAATAACTCTCACTGAGGTAGACTCGTTCCCCCCCCCCAGGATACATGGGGGTCATAACACATTATAAGCCATCTCCCCCTATCAGAAAGGGAGAAAAATGACTTATAATTAATGTAACTTATACACAAGAGCACATTACAGTGAATGTATGTACCCCATACAATAGCATGAATGAAACAAAATAATAGCAAAGTTCTAGATAAGTCCATTTTCTAGAGACGCAATTCCACTAGATACGATCAGGTCTAGGGAATGTCCCCGGCCGGTGTACTAGAGAATTTCACTGTCTGATTCCTCGGCTATTACTTACTAGGCATTTTTCTAGATTTTGACACTCCTTATTTACTAAGACACTTCTTAGAATACTAGTCTTTTACTTAAGAGATTGTCTTGAGACACTTTTACTAGGCAAAGGTTCTGTACAACACCGTAGATGGTATAATTATTTTGTCAACAGATTAGAACCGTTCTGAAGATCCGGTAGACAGTACTATGAACCGTTCTGAAGATCCGGTAGACAGTACTATGAACCGTTCTGAAGATCCGGTAGATAATACTATGAACCGTTCTGAAGATCCGGTAGATAATACTATGAAGCGTTTTGAAGATCCGGTAGACAGTACTATGAACCGTTCTGAAGATCCGGTAGATAATACTATGAACCGTTCTGAAGATCCGGTAGATAATACTATGAAGCGTTTTGAAGATCCGGTAGATAGTACTCTGATTGACCAGCTGGTTGACCAGGAGTGGTTGGTAGAGCAGCGGCGAGTGACAGCGGGCGGAAGCTTGGCCGGTCACTGGTGGACGGTGTTGGGGGAGATGCGTGTACGGCACATCTCACAACCAGGTGCTTGCCAAGCTGGTGAGTGACGGCTGCTACCCTATCGCGCATGCTCTAATGTGCTTGACCTTGGGCCGATGGTGCGAAACGTGCACCCTGCGAGCACACTCAGTAGGGATGTGCCGCTGGAATGTGACCACCTCGTTGGTCTCAGTGATGTGGCCTCCACAAGGTGGAGGGGGAGTTGCTAGGTTAATACTGCAGCCGTCATACCCGCGTCGTGTACCTCGGGCCTCCACGCCTGGCGTGCCTGGACGGCGGTGTGTCGCTGGTGGGGGCGTCTGACGACGACCGCAAGAGCCCACCATACTGGTACGAGTGTGCTTGACTCAACAATGGCCAGATACAATATATGAAATAATGAAAACTGTCTGGGAACACAGCAGAGAATTAATAAAGCACTCCGTCACCTCGTTACCATACTGTGACCTTGTTACCGTGGTGTGACTTCGTTACCATGGGGTGACCTTGTTACCATGGTGTGACTTCGTTACCATGGTGTGACCTCGTTACCATGGGGTGACTTCGTTACCATGGTGTGACTTCGTTACCATGGGGTGACCTCGTTACCATGGTGTGACCTCGTTACCATGGTGTGACTTCGTTACCATGGTGTGACTTCGTTACCATGGGGTGACCTCGCTACCATGGTGTGACCTCGTTACCATGGGGTGACCTCGTTACCATGGTGTGACCTCGTTACCATGGTGTGACCTCGTTACCATGGTGTGACCTCGTTACCATGGTGTGACTTCGTTACCATGGTGTGACCTCGTTACCATGGTGTGACCTCGTTGTTATGGGGAGACCTCGTTACCATGGTGTGACCTCGTTACCATGGTGTGACCTCGTTACCATGGTGTGACTTCGTTACCATGGTGTGACTTCGTTACCATGGGGTGACCTTGTTACCATGGGGTGACCTCGTTACCATGGGGTGACCTTGTTACCATGGTGTGACCTCGTTACCATGGTGTGACCTCGTTACCATGGTGTGACTTCGTTACCATGGTGTGACCTCGTTACCATGGTGTGACTTCGTTACCATAGTGTGACCTCGTTACCATAGTGTGACCTCGTTACCATGGTGTGACTTCGTTACCATGGTGTGACTTCGTTACCATGGTGTGACTTCGTTACCATGGTGTGACCTCGTTACCATGGTGTGACTTCGTTACCATGGTGTGACCTCGTTACCATGGTGTGACCTCGTTACCATGGTGTGACTTCGTTACCATGGTGTGACCTCGTTACCATGGGGTGACCTCGTTACCATGGGGTGACCTCGTTACCATGGTGTGACTTCGTTACCATGGTGTGACCTCGTTACCATGGGGTGACCTCGTTACCATGGGGTGACCTTGTTACCATGGTGTGACCTCGTTACCATGGTGTGACCTCGTTACCATGGTGTGACTTCGTTACCATGGTGTGACCTCGTTACCATGGTGTGACTTCGTTACCATGGTGTGACCTCGTTACCATGGTGTGACTTCGTTACCATGGTGTGACTTCGTTACCATGGTGTGACTTCGTTGCCATGGTGTGACCTCGTTACCATGGTGTGACTTCGTTACCATGGTGTGACCTCGTTACCATGGTGTGACCTCGTTACCATGGTGTGACTTCGTTACCATGGTGTGACTTCGTTACCATGGTGTGACCTCGTTACCATGGTGTGACCTCGTTACCATGGTGTGACTTCGTTACCATGGTGTGACCTCGTTACCATGGGGTGACCTCGTTACCATGGTGTGACTTCGTTACCATGGTGTGACCTCGTTACCATGGTGTGACTTCGTTACCATGGTGTGACCTCGTTACCATGGTGTGACCTCGTTACCATGGTGTGACTTCGTTACCATGGTGTGACTTCGTTACCATGGTGTGACCTCGTTACCATGGTGTGACTTCGTTACCATGGTGTGACTTCGTTACCATGGTGTGACCTCGTTACCATGGTGTGACTTCGTTACCATGGTGTGACTTCGTTACCATGGTGTGACCTCGTTACCATGGTGTGACTTCGTTACCATGGTGTGACTCCGTTACCATGGGGTGACCTCGTTTCCATGGTGTGACCTCGTTGCCATGGTGTGACCTCGTTACCATGGTGTGACCTCGTTACCATGGTGTGACCTCGTTACCATGGGGTGACCTCGTTACCATGGTGTGACTTCGTTACCATGGTGTGACCTCGTTACCATGGTGTGACTTCGTTACCATGGTGTGACCTCGTTACCATGGTGTGACCTCGTTACCATGGTGTGACTTCGTTACCATGGTGTGACTTCGTTACCATGGTGTGACCTCGTTACCATGGTGTGACTTCGTTACCATGGTGTGACTTCGTTACCATGGTGTGACCTCGTTACCATGGTGTGACTTCGTTACCATGGTGTGACTTCGTTACCATGGTGTGACCTCGTTACCATGGTGTGACTTCGTTACCATGGTGTGACTCCGTTACCATGGGGTGACCTCGTTTCCATGGTGTGACCTCGTTGCCATGGTGTGACCTCGTTACCATGGTGTGACCTCGTTACCATGGTGTGACTTCGTTACCATGGGGTGACCTCGTTACCATGGTGTGACTTCGTTACCATGGTGTGACCTCGTTGTCATGGGGTGACCTCGTTACCATGGGGTGACCTCGTTACCATGGGGTGACGTCGTTACCATGGTGTGACTTCGTTACCATGGTGTGTCCTCGTTACCATGGTGTGACTTCGTTACCATGGTGTGACTTCGTTACCATGGTGTGACCTCGTTACCATGGTGTGACTTCGTTACCATGGTGTGACTTCGTTACCATGGTGTGACCTCGTTACCATGGTGTGACTTCGTTACCATGGTGTGACTCCGTTACCATGGGGTGACCTCGTTACCATGGTGTGACCTCGTTACCATGGTGTGACCTCGTTACCATGGTGTGACCTCGTTACCGTGGAGTGACCTCGTTACCATGGTGTGACTTCGTTACCATGGGGTGACCTCGTTACCATGGTGTGACTTCGTTACCATGGTGTGACCTCGTTGTCATGGGGTGACCTCGTTACCATGGGGTGACCTCGTTACCATGGGGTGACCTCGTTACCAGGGTGTGACTTCGTTACCATGGTGTGACCTCGTTACCATGGTGTGACTTCGTTACCATGGGGTGACCTCGTTACCATGGTGGGACCTCGTTACCATGGTGTAACCTCGTTACCATGGTGTGACTTCGTTACCATGGTGTGACCTCGTTATCATGGTGTGACCTCGTTACCATGGTGTGACCTCGTTACCATGGTGTGACTTCTTTACCATGGTGTGACCTCGTTACTATGGTGTGACCTCGTTGTCATGGGGTGACAGCCAGTGGTGTGCAGTGCTGCCGAAGCTCACCTCTGGAAGCGGATGAGAGAATGGAGGGAAATGGAGAGAGGATGAGGGGAAAGGGAGAGGATGGCTATTGGTGATTTTTGTATTATTTTATAAACAAACTTATACACAACAATGCGCTGCTCCCCTATTCTATATGAAAGATTACACAGCGTAGATCAAAAACTTATAAGTTCATCCAATATTCTCATCTCACAGGATGGTTAGATTAGATTTTTTTATTCGGGTAAAGGTACATACATTGAGTTACATACATAATGTTGGATTTAAAGATAGAGATAATACATACAATACCTAAAGCCACTAGTACGCATAGCGTATCGGGCAAAGTCATACATGGAACCACGGGAGAAAACACCTGTCATACATGGAACCACGGGAGAAAACACCTGTCGTACATGGAACCACGGGAGAAAACACCTGTCGTACATGGAACCACGGGAGAAAACACCTGTCATACATGGAACCACGGGAGAAAACACCTGTCGTACATGGAACCACGGGAGAAAACACCTGTCGTACATGGAACCACGGGAGAAAACACCTGTCGTACATGGAACCACGGGAGAAAACACCTGTCGTACACTAACCACGGGAGAAAACACCTGTCGTACATGGAACCACGGGAGAAAAAACACCTGTCGTACATGGAACCACGGGAGAAAACACCTGTCGTACATGGAACCACGGGAGAAAACACCTGTCGTACATGGAACCACGGGAGAAAACACCTGTCGTACATGGAACCACGGGAGAAAACACCTGTCGTACATGGAACCACGGGAGAAAACACCTGTCGTACATGGAACCACGGGAGAAAACACCTGTCGTACATGGAACCACGGGAGAAAACACCTGTCATACATGGAACCACGGGAGAAAACACCTGTCGTACATGGAACCACGGGAGAAAACACCTGTCGTACATGGAACCACGGGAGAAAACACCTGTCATACATGGAACCACGGGAGAAAACACCTGTCATACATGGAACCACGGGAGAAAACACCTGTCATACATGGAACCACGGGAGAAAACACCTGTCGTACATGGAACCACGGGAGAAAACACCTGTCGTACATGGAACCACGGGAGAAAACACCTGTCGTAATACAAAAACAAATCAACTCTGACTAAAAATCAGTCGAGAACATGAAGTGCAAGGCTGACCTATTAGCTCCCCACTAGCAAAATCTGGGCACAGCATAAGAATATCTTCCAGTATTCCTGAGTATATGAAATGATTATAGAGCTCAAAGCTCTGTAATCATTTCAGTTGATCGTAGCAGGAAAATATTAGCATTACATCACTAATAAGTTAATAAGGTTATGATATTTCTTGGTTTTTAAAGAATCAATAATATTTTAATTTGTATATATATATATATATATATATATATATATATATATATATATATATATATATATATATATATATATATATATATATATATATATATATATATATATATATATATATTA